CTAAACCTAACACTAATTCTGACCCTAAACCTAACACTAACCCTGACCCTAACCCTAACACTAAACCTAACACTAAACCTAACACTAATTCTGACCCTAAACCTAACACTAACCCTGACCCTAACCCTAACACTAAACCTAACCCTAAACCTAACACTAATTCTGACCCTAAACCTAACACTAACCCTAACCCTAACCCTACACCCTTCATAATTGTGAGAAATAAATATTTTTTGGTTAAACTTGTTTGGACTTATCGTGCAAACCTATTTAACATCCACTATTTTAACATAATATTATGTATAGAGTTTAATTCAGTGTTTGCAAGATTAATTTAACTATTTTTAAATTAATGTCTATATTGCCATGAAGCTATTCGGATTTTCTTGCCTGGGATCTTCCTATCGGTGACCTAATCAAAATGGCCGATTTGGATGTGGGTGGAGTTGGATATCCATCCTTGGCTTGGCCTCTTTGGACATGTTCACTGTAAACACGGTGGTTAATATACCCAGAAAAAAACACTACATTTACCATCTCGTTGTCCTTTTGTTTTGAAAAATAATCATATGATACACCAGCTTTGTCCTCTATTGGTTATTATTTTATGTACACGGACTGAGAGCAGATCCAAAATCAGGGAGAACAACCTCCATTTCTGTTGACAATCAGCTTGTTGGAGGTCAGATAAACACGAAACACTTTGGTAAACATTTGACATTTTCCAGAGGAGGAACAGGGTTTCCAGCCGGGGGCTAAATCAAAGTGGGTCACCGCTGCTCTGAAACTTAAGGTGGAACCGGGAACATATCTGTGAAGATCCTCAGTCCTCCAGGTAATGAAAAGTTCGGTTCAGGCAACCGGAGGTGAAGTTTCCCATAAGACGTTTGGATTCTGATCCAAGAGGCTTCCTCAGCTCTAAATGATGGTCAGCACAGGAGGTCCGACTCCTCGGGACATGACTCAGCAGTTTAGCTGAAGGCTAAAGGACACTTTGAGGACAACGACGTCCACATTTTGGCCGAGGAAGACAGCAGGTTTGAGAGAGGGGTTCAGGAAGCCATCTTCGTTAGCCTGGAGAAACCATGACTCAGCCTGGAGAAACCATGACTCAGCAAAGACCATCTACTCTACTGAGTCATGGTTTCTCCAGGCTAACAGAGTAGCTTGTCTTTGTTAGCCTGGAGAGACCATGACTCAGCAGAGTAACTGTTAGCCTGGAGAAACCATGACTCAGCAAAGACCAGCTACTCTACTGAGTCATTGTTTCTCCAGGCTAACAGGGTAGCTGGTCTTTGTTAGCCTGGAGAAACCATGACTCAGCAGAGGAGCTGGTCTCTGTTAGCCTGGAGAAA